ATTTAAAATTATTAACTTTGCCTGTAAAATTTCAGAAAAATTATGCCAAAATGAGTACTCCAACTTTTAATGAGGTGATAATTTAAAAATGACTAAACTACTCTGATTGGACTACTCCATACTTCATTATAGTATTTATAGTCTAAATCAGGTTTTCTAATTTTCTGCAAGATGAACACTTCTGATGTTAAAAGTTAATTTCTGAGGGACGGCAGAAACATCATTCACAATCTTAGTATATTTTTGTTAATACTGGCCTTTACATTAGGCAAAGAGTACCTTTTATCTGCAATAGTTAAATCTTATACTTAATATGTTACTAAAAATATTAAATAACTGCTTCTGCTAAATGTACATATTTTACTGTAATCTTTTGCTTTAATACTGTTTGTTTTTCTATTTCATTTATCAAAAAAATCACTTCTTGTAGGAGAGGATCAATGCTTAGTACAGCTATTTTTGTTTATGCTGCAACATCGCCAGTGAATGGATATTTTGGAGGAAGCCTTTATGCTAGACAAGGAGGTAAATTGTTTTAATTTCTCAGGATTTGCATTACATTGTTAAACGGATATGTTGTTATTTTCTGATTTTCATTGATATGGAATTAGGTCATTCAGATGGAATCCATTAAATTCTTAATAAACAGAAAATATTTTGAGTATATTTCACTTTTATATTATTTTCTATTCAGTCTTGGCTATGTTTTCTAACTAAAGATAGCTGAAGTCTTTGGTTAATTTAAAAGTAATAAGAGCTACAGAACCGTTAACAGTTATATCTTATGAATTAATTGCTGTACTCTTGTATATAATTGTTTGACTCATGACATCCAGAGAGTATAATAGTCTCTTCCTCTTCTGTAGCATGCTGTTAAACAGCTCATGTCATCTTCTCCAGATGACTCCTACATAGCCTTCCTCTATAGGTACTTGGAGGCGTTATGTTTACTAACATGGAAAGAATGCGTATACAGTACTTACTAGACAGTTAATTGGGGATGGGGAAAACTGTTTATAGCATCTTTTAAAGATTATTCTACTTTGCAGTATGTGTTCTGCTTTATACTTAGCAAATTCAAAATGAGTATCAGTAGAGAATAAAAGCCCAATAAAATTGACATAACAGATTTGGACAGGCTGTCTTCAACTGCTCCCTGCTATGCCTCTGAATTATGACCAATTACATCCTTGCAGTCCACTAGCTTCATCCATTCCCTATGCTACAATAAAAGAGTAATCAATATCCATTATCTTCTACAGTGTTTTAGGAAAAATAATTCTGGTAAGTTTGCAGAAGAAAATTTGTATCTTTTTAACACGACATACTTGTGAGTGTTCAGTCTCAACTGCACTCTAATCTACTCTGAGTTTGGAGGTTAGATGTTTCTTTTCTGTTTCTTGGCTTCTGTATAAACCTAGAAAAAACAGACCTACATAAATTAGGGTTGCTGTTCTGAAATGTACCGTGTTGTATAGTTGAGCCAGATTTGCATTTTTTTCTGCAGATCAAACGTATCAAGCCGTGAAATGCTGATTATGTTAGCTCATGGTAAAAATACATATGTTGGTCTTAAAAAGCATATGCTAGTTTCCTAGCTATATTTTATTTAGTGCATATTACAGATGTACCTATAGTGTATTAAATTTAAATATAGACAGTATGTAAGAGCACAGAAAGTGAAAATTCCTAAGGTATTGCCCAAGAGGGTTTTTTTGAGCTTCTCAGGGAGCTCTAAACTTAGTAGTAACTATTAACAAGTGTTGCTGTTCCCTTTATGCTTGGGATTTAGAACCGGCTTTCCTTCTACCTTTTCTACTGTTGGAGATGTCTGAGTTCAATTTTGCTGTATATTAAATGCTGTGGCATTTTGCTTTATACCAGGGATAGCCAGTTCCTTCATGCATCCTGAATGTATGGAGTCAGCTTAGTTGGATCAAGACAACCCAGAGCAGGTGCTGCCTGAAAGCAGCTGTAGTGCTGAGTTGTCCGAGGAGCAGTGCTGAGCTCTGATGTGCTCTCAGGGTATGAGCAGGCTCTGCACAGGGCCAGCTCTACCATCTCTGTTTCTACTAATTTGCAGCTTACATATACACTTACATGTCATACCCCAGGTTCTTTGGCCGGCTTCATTAGCGTATACTGTTCTCCAACCGAAGTGTTCTTACACTGTATCACTTTTCCTGTCTTTTCACCTGGCCTAATAAATAGATTAACGTACTGCATCTTGTGAGTTGCCAGGAGTCAAATGAAACTGTTAGTTGACTCTTGGCTCTTGTATCGATGTAGTATGTTGCTACTTATTTCTTTCACCTTTTTTGGGAGAAGTCATCAAACACCAAAATTCTGGAGAGCTTGCTGATAACTTTTTAAACAAAATACACTCTATCTCACCAGCCCCATTGAAATGTGCTTTCGTACAGGAAGGCGATGGATAAAGCAGATGTTCATCGGAGCCTTCCTTATTCCAGCAATGGTGTGTGGAACTGCCTTCTTCATTAACTTCATTGCCATCTATTATCATGCCTCAAGAGCTATACCCTTTGGAACCATGGTGAGTCATTTTGTTGGAGAATGTAAACACCACAGTAGGCACAGGAAAACTACTTTTTAATCTAAATACAATTGTGAGTCATAGCTTTAGCTTCCTAGTTAGAAATTTATTCTGGGAGGGTTTTAAGATACTTCAAGTATAACTTGTTTTAATCACAGTAGCAACAGCTGCTGGATGACAGCAAATCTTCTCTCTGCTTACAATGGTGCTTCTGCTTCATATTCGAACTTAGTGTTATAAAAACATGGAAAGTTAGCAACTTGAATTTTCTTCTGGATGGCCAATGCAAACTGGTTATAAGCTAAAATGCAATAGGAAAGGATTCCAAGTGAAAGCTACTTCCACATCATTGCAGTCAAGCAGAAAAAAATAAAAATAAAAGATCAACCAACAATATGAGATGAGAAGTCCTGAAGAGATCTGGCTTGATGAAAATGAATCACTGTTTTCACTTTGTGAAGTGGTATTTAGTATGCAGGTATAGTCTTGTGTCTGAGTATAAACCATGTCACTTGGAAAACAATGCTGGTTGGATTACTTTCTCAATTAATCATGATGACTTCTCTTGTTTCTCGTGGATTTGTCAGGATTTTGTTTGTTTTCATGGCCCTTTGAAGTAACCTTAAATAACCCTGTGAATACAATGTAGAAAATAATGATTTGGCACTTTAGCAGGATTTCTCTTTGAGCTTGCAAGGGGTATTCGAGAGCATAATTTTTTTAAATATGTGCCATAACATTGCTTTTTCTAATTTTATGCAGTAGCACTGTTAACTTAAAGAAATATCTTAATACAGGAGGGCTTCTTTTCTTTTCTTGGGATTTAACCCTTTTTAATAGCTCCCTTCTTTGCATATCAGTTTGTTATTCAGTCTGTTCAGAGATGTTTGAATAGCCTTGGATTTCTTAGTTTAAATCTACCACAAAACGAAGCTTGGTATTACAAGTTCTGTCTTACAAATTGTATTATTTGGGATATAATCAAATTCAGTATGTGACTGAAAATACTTCCTAAGAACACATTGTTAATGAATGGATGCGTTAGAAATCATAAATGGTAGGAAAAAGAAAGACAATTCTCAGTTTCAGGCAAAGGCTTTCAATAATTTTCTGATGGAGGAGTCATTACTTTACATGTACATTGCTGGTTCTAGTCACCTCCTGATTAGTCATATTTTCAATGCATGCCTAAATACCAACTTTTTACATTGAATTCATTGTTATAAAACTACTAAATATAATATCAAGCTAAACATGGTTATAAACTCTCAATTTTCCTGATTTTCTTCTTCAAGAAATTAGACTAAAATTCTATCTTTGGATATGTTTGTATTAGTTGATCAGTGCCCAAAAGGAATATTGTATTAGATTTTCTTTCCTAAGCTAGTAGCCATATACAATACTGATAAAAAGGTTTACAACATTTATCTTTGATATGTGCATAGAGGCTCTGTTTTACTGCTGAGCAAGCATTTATGATACCATATTTCTTACTTGTATTCCCATTTGGAGGTCAAGAATGCTGAGGGAAGGGAATTCTACCTGTGCTGAAGTTTATTTTGCAAATCTGTTCAACTGATTTGTATTTTAAGATCACGGAAACATGTACTTGCAAAAGCAAATGGGAATATAAATCTTCAAGGGTCACTTAATCAGGATGTTAGGGCTCTTTATACACTGTGATTTTAATGATCTCAAGGTTTTATGAATGTGTTTGAATCATTATGACTGTGGCAATAAAACTTCAGTGGAGTTAGCAGACTTCTAGTAGGAGAAGGTTATGAATCGGAAACTTCATCAGAATAAGCAACGCTCTAATGACTTCAAATCAACTAATGAAGCTGGTTTGTAGAAGAAAATGAAAATTGTTTGGAATTACCATGTTATGCTTCAGGTCGAAGTCCCAGGAAGCCCTCTGGCTTTATGGGTGAGATACCTTTGTGTCTTTCCGCCTCTGTTTTCAATGGAGAGAAACTTCCAGAATTCTTTAGGGCAAATGAGCTGCTGCTGCTTTCTTGGGGAAATAAAACCTCTTTCATCTAAATGTACTAAAACACAGGAATTACTTCCTTTACCCTGATGTGTCTTGAAACCAACTTCCTTGATTTAAATTGCTGGCAAGAATTACCACCTCTTCTTGACTGTGATACATCTGGAAAAAGCAGAAACTCTGAGCGATTAGTCATTATTTATATATATTTATATATAATATATAATATAAATGGTCACTAAGAGACTATGCTTAAATATGACATCCTGTGCTTTGCCCATTTTGCATTGCCACTTCCCAGTGGACTGCTACGTGGTCACCTCTCTGAATTAATTCCTCTCTCCAGACAGGTTTTTCTGCGGAATGTAGGCAAGAGCAGCTGATAGTGTCAAAGCCAAGACACCCGCACTAATGCACAGTTGCTGCATCTTTGATTTACTTGGTATCTGCTCTTTCACGCTCTGTCTTGAAATGCTCAAATTGATTGGACACTTCGGGCCTTCATGCATCGCACTGTCATTGCAGTCTGTTTTAAACTTCAAAGCTTCATTCACCTTGTGTATCTTATTCCCGATGTCTGGGATCTCCTCGAAGATGTGGCAGGGGCTGGGAAGATCCAAAGCTTGTTTCTGAAATCATTCTTCAGTCTTGGGACTTTGCCTTTAGCCCTTTTGGATATACATGCAAGCTGTCTACCTATACTGTGACAAACCTTCTGTAGGGAAAAAAAGGGAAATACACCATGAGCCTCAACCAAGGCTTCATCTTTTCCCTGGGATATCTTTCTGCTGCCCTTCTCTTGAAAATGCAATAAGGAATGTGACAGATTTTATTCAAATATGAGAGCTTTTTAAAACTTAATGGTTTAAAGCTTTCAACTCCCTAAGCATGTGAAGGAGATATAAAAGTCTGGGTCTTTTCTCTCATCTCTTTGCCTTTATAGAAATGCAATGGGTACTGTTCAGTTCTTTGTTCTTTTGGAGCCCAAATTCGATTTTTTGGGGGTATTTTGTTTATTGTATCCTGAACATAGAGTTCTTCTGAAGGTGTTATACACCTTGACTTACCTTGATTTTTGTGTCTTTTTGGTGTGTTATCAATCATTTTTCTATTTTGTTGTGCTTGATTTACATGCAAAAAATGGAGCATTAAAAATAATTTCAAATCATGACAAGCGAAGTGACCTCCGTATTCCTTTACGAGAAGTGTGGTGGTAGTTTTATGCAGAAGTACTTACTAAGTAATGCAGAGTTTCTGCAGAGTACAGCATGATTGAATTTGAAGGGACTGTCTTAATTCTGACATTTTGTAAGTTGTGACTGCTTACATTGTTCTGTGTGTGATACATAATTTAAAGATTTCCATTAAGGCTACTATGACTGATGTAATATTCTGACTGCAGAATCCATGCAGCTTCTATTAAACTGTTTAAGATGTACCATTTTTGTTTTGTTTGAGCAGTAGATTCCTGTGTGGCTAATGTTTCCAGTATGCATTTTTTATGATTTAATTAAATAAGGTTACGCACACTGAATTTCTCTTGGGATCGAGATCCTAGTGTTTGCATCTCTAAGACCTTGTTTAAACTAGAAAAAAGTGTTTCCTTCAACAGATTGCTTAATCCAAACTGCAGCCATCCCTGACAGCTTTAAGTTGCTGGTTTAAGTATTGGCTGCTACTGAAAAAGGAGGACATGATAGTGCCAAGGATTTTCATGCCTTGAGCCGGATAAGGAAGTACACCTGGCTAAAAGCAGAAGAAAAGGTAGTTATATACATTCAGCAGGGTGTTTCCTCAGATTGCTGGAAAGCAACTGTGGAACAGTTAGTCAAAAAACTTATTTTTGCTGACAATAGACACAGCTTAATGCTTCTGCCTAAATTTTCAACAGTTCAATTTATTACTCAAAGCAGCACTTTAGATTAACAGCTTAGTTGTAACAAAATTAATAAGACTTTATTTTGAAGCCTTTATTCTCTTGTTGTTCTGTATAATATTTGGGCAGATGATGTGCTGAAAACTCTTTCACTGTACTGATTGAGTAACCTCTATATAGGGGGAAATGTCTCATGACCGAGAGTGCGGTTTTGGTGGCTGACAGGAAGGATCAAGCTGCTGCTTGCTGCTGCTTTGACAGTTAATTTTTACTGCTTTTCTCCCTTGTGCATTAAGCAGTCAAGGCGCCATAGCCTGCCAGTAGCTGTTTAATATTAGATATGCTCATAAAAATTTTAATTATCACCTTTGAATGAAGTTTAATCTACAGTTGTCAGAAAATATGAAACACATGACACTAGAACATAAATTATATCCCTCTTGACAATGTTTCCTTTCAAATAGGGAAAACTGAATCCTGCACGTTCAGTCAAGGGCAGTAGAATATTCTTTCCCCATCAAAACAAAACAAAAAGGGGTTAGAAAGAATGCAGGCTTGGCAAGATTGACAATCTCTTCTATGGCAACTAGAACCCACAAACTAAATCAGGTGCTTGTGTATAAATAAGGTATTTTGTACAACAAAAATGCAGCAGTTAAAATTAAATAGGTATCTTTTAATATACCAACTTGGTAGAAAAACACATGTAATTTGTCTTCAGTAATACGGATTGTGGAGACTGTGTGCTTGTTTGATGGAAAACTGGGTTTGTAGATGTAGTAGATTTGCCTGTTTGCATAATTTGTGTTTTCTGAAGTGACAGTTAAAACTATTCTCTCAGTTTCTCTTGGCTGATGTTACAGGAATACTTCTCTTAAAAGGCTCACCAAGACCTAAATTTCTTACCTCTGCCTGTCATGCAACAGCTATTATTGGGGGTTTGGTTTTTTTAGTATGTTACCAGTGACCTCTTTAGGGAGGTGCTTCTGCAGGAGGGCAGAGCATGTATGTGTATTGATCCTGCCGTCATTTCCTCTTAACTGTTTGTGATGGTGGAATGGAGGCCAGTAAGTGCCTGAGCTGCTTTCACCATTGTCATCTCATTTTCCAAAACCTTTGAGGCAGAAATCTCATAACTTCATCTCTTTTCCAGTTAAGACACTACTGTACCCTAGGGCCCTGTGTTTGCTTCAGTTTGGGTTTAAACTCTCTATGCACCACTACTGCCCTAGCCATCTGTGGCAATAGGCAATACCTGTTCAGTTTGGGAGGGAGTGATGTCGTCACCTCAGGTCCGAAATTGAGGAATGTGCCTGAAAAAGCAGAAGCTAGAAAGCCAATTATCTCCAGTCATCTCTCGCATCTGGATATACTATTACTGCCAAGAATGAAGAAAGTCATTTTCAGCAAGCATCAGTCTGAGCAGGTAGACTATCTTGGAGTCAGGCAGTGAGTTGAAAGCAAGAAAGAAAATGCTACTGACGTCAGCACAGGGTTCCGAGATCAGGAAACAGACACCTTGATAACTTCACTGTAAAAGACGATTGTGGCTGGATGAGCAGTACAGACGCCCTTTCACGCTGCCTGCGTCTGAGCTTCGTGCCTCAGCCAGATTTGAAACCTCCCTGCCAGAGCACCATGGACAGGGCCATCTCCCACAGCCAGAGGTCCTTGCCAGACAGGCAGCAGAGCACGCTCTTCTTGCAAATGGAAGTGGCTTCGATACGGTGAGCTCAGAAGTTCTTTGGATCCTGTCCAGGCCTTAATTCTTGAAGGTCTCTTCTACCCACTGGACTTCAAACAAGCTCTGGGACTTTCTGGTCAGGATTTTAATAAATATAGGACTCAAGATGTTGTTCTTCAGTGTTTCGGACACTTTTTACCGTTTTTCTCTGAAAATTCTCCTGTGCTCATTGTTTTAAACTGAGCAGTTTTCAAGTGCAGAACCTGCATCCGTTAAGTGAGTTAGTTATATACTTCTCCTGTAATTTCTTCTTAGGCAACCTCAGTGTCCTACCTAAGACATTGTGCTTGATTACCTGTGTTTTTTCCAGTAATGGAAGGAGATAAATAGGAGATACTAAAGATGTATTAATTGTGTAAAATCTGCTTTATTATTGGGAAGTATAAATACTACTTAGCTTTTCCTTTTTTTACCACTGAAGCTTCCTGTTTTAGTGGCTTATGATGTAATTTGTTAATAATCTCTCCACAAAGATACACAGAGCAGTCTGGACAGTGCTTCTGCTTGACCACCTGTTTGGTATACCTGTTCTGTGAAGCACGAAGGCTTGCTCCATCCAACCCCAGGCAACATTTTCCATTTACATCTGGCCTAGGCTAGTAATGATATGCAAGTCAGTAACAGAGGGATAAACCTCTGACTTGTGTCAAATGTTGCCTTAAACTAGTGTGATTGACTTAACCTGAGGTTATATTGAGCTGATGTAGTGCAGCTCCTCATCTGCTGAAGCCTGGTGGTTCTTGCTTTTCAGCTGCTTCCAGTAGATTTGTGAACAGCCTTTATTTATCCTGGAGTAACTGCTTCCTAAACAAGTCAGTGTGGGACTCTTAAACCTAGTCCTCTGTCCATTGTTTTGGATTAGTCTGCTGCCATGGACTTTGCGTCCTGATGGATCGAAAGAGGAATGTAGCTGCTTTGCCCAGGAATCACCAGGGTGTACACAGAGCCTCAGGCAACAATGCTTTTAAGAGGCAGTACTTTCCTATGTTTGCATAGAGAAGGTCACAGGGTCAATATTCAGAACTATGGTTATTGCATTACAGGCAACTGTTCTGTCTTTAATTATCAATATCAAAAAGTTAACAAACTGTCTAATGCTAATTCATTTTGTGTGAAAGGGTTGCGAGTCTTATTGAACACTTTAGATTTCCCCATTTTGGAAGATTGGGTTTAAACTCTCTATGCACCACTACAAAATATGTTGCCTTCAAGGAAGAGAGCAAAAGTAGAGCTACATAAATACACTGGAAAAAAAGGTGATTCATGGTAAAATTTTAGGGAGGCTATTTCATTGGAAAGAGCTGGAATGTTGGCTTGGCTTTGCTGCATTATGCATAAACTTAATCTCTGTATGTAAGTAGGGCCATTGTGCTTCTAAATTGTGTGCCTGTGTGTACTAGTGGTCACTTGTGTCTTTGGCAGTCTGTGTTCTTAATTACCTTATTGATGGATAGCGGAGAAAATGGAACCCAAAATTTTGATTGGTAGCATTCTGACATGGCTTTGGGTTTCTTTTTTGGACTACATTAAAAATTTTGCACCCAGCTTTTGCAGTTTTGTATGCAACTACCTAGCTGCTAGATACTAACTCCCAGGGACAGCATAACTGCAAAAGTATAAGAGAAGCCAACAAAATTTTCTGTGATGAAGTACCATGAAGATTTCTGTTTTATTCCTTTGCAATGTACTGAGTATAATGATTAGATGAAAACAGCAAAAAAAAAAATCTGTAATGGTTCTGTTCTCCAACTGATGCAAGAAAATATACTTAATTTTTATTAGGAAGTTTCTCAGGAAATAAATACTTCCATTTGATAAAATAGATGTATATTGGCTAATGCTTCATAACTAGGGCTATGATTCTACAGCAATAACTACTAAGGACTAATACATCTGGAGTAGGTTGGTTATCTTCTTTTGTTGTCTTATACCATTTTTTTTTAATTACTGTTTTGATTTTTGCTTACAGGTGGCAGTGTGCTGTATTTGTTTCTTTGTCATTCTTCCGTTGAACCTCGTCGGTACAATTCTTGGCCGCAATCTGTCAGGACAGCCTAATTTTCCATGTCGTGTCAATGCAGTGCCTCGTCCCATACCAGAGAAAAAATGGTAAAGACAAGCATTCATATTAACTAGGTGTATTCACTTCAGTATATTTAAAATTACTTTTTAGATGTGATAATTAAAAGGTTTTCTAGAATAACTTTTTTTATTTAAAATTGAGTTGTGTCTAGAAGAACGCCTCTACTGACATTTCCTTAAATAGGATTTTTCTGTTGAATAAAAACACCAAGTGCAGTTAATGGTTAATAGTCGTAGCAGATTTTACAGTCCTGGATCACTGATTCATGTTTGGTCTGAAATGCTCTTCAGTCTCTTATGTAAAAGGGATGGTCCCAACCCGGTTCTTGTATGGGTATCTTCAAACTAAACCTTTCCTCTTTAGTTAATGCCTCTTACAGATTTGGGATTGAATGTGTCTTGGAGGCAGAACTGTTCTATTTACTGGTCTCAATGTACAAGATGAGACATATTTGCAGGGTGATGGTGGGGCGAAGCTTGCAATGCTGTTCCCAATTCTGCACAATTCTCTGTTGATGGCACAGAGCCTAAAGTACTCCAAGTGTACAGTTTGAATTGCGAATAAGCCTTTATTATTTTTGAAGTGAATATAAAGGGGTGGGTGCGTAGTCTCAACAAGTAGATTTGGATTTTTGGAAAATCATGAATGCAGTCATTTTTTCCTATTAATTTAATTCTGAGATGGAAGCAGCAAGCAGTGGAAATTAAAATATTCTCAGAAGGTGTTTTTAATATCATTTTCTTGCTTTCCCTGTTCAGAGGAATGGAACAGACAAAGTGAAAGGGGCACTGAGATGTGTATGCCCACAATATCCAGGAAGTGCAGCACACTTTGTCTCTTATTAGTGGTGGATTGTACAGCTCAGATGCTAGGATTTGATTTATATTGTGACCTGTATCTTGGGACTCTGATGGATTTTTCTGGATGGGCATGACAGATAAAAAGAAATAAGATACTTCTCTTGAAGATGATGAAATCGCACACGGTCAACTTAGACAAGTCTCCCTATAAATAATAAAAGAAGCTGCAGATTAAATCACTGGTTACTAGCTAAATTCAGCATCATTACAAGTACTACACAGAGGTCACCTTTAGTAAATGACAGTATCATCTACAGGTAGCTGAGTATTCATTTTTGGCCATAGGCTCATGACTCAGTATAGCATTAAAAATAAATACTGGTTCTTAATTATGTAACCATTACCCTGCAAAATTTTCTTTGTGCTTTTTGCTGTATTCGTAGCCATCAACAGCTGAGTTTTCACTGCCTTCATTCAGGGCTAGTGGCTGTTACGGAGCTTGATTGCTTAGGCCCTTTTTGGGCAAGAAGGGTTAGTTCTGTAGCCTTTATGGCTGGTTAGATGTCTGACTTTATGCCTATAGGTGATAGGCATGAGACTTATGCTTTGTTTCAGCTTTCATCAAGAATAACTTCTCCTGTCCGTACATATGACATTTTTTGGGGAATCTTCTTTCTAATATGGTGGTATGAAACAGAAATGTTCGTGTTAGCGTGCCTTTTAAATAATTATCTGTGCTATATTATCTGGTTATATGTCTTAATATGTTTATAAATTACAGATTAAAATTGTCCCTAAACTAATATTAATACCTTTCAGGTTCATGGAACCAGCTGTCATTGTTTGCCTAGGTGGAATACTCCCTTTTGGATCAATTTTTATTGAAATGTGAGTATGTCAGCTATTTGCCAATTGGATTAAAAAATATAATCGTTTAAGTTCAATTACAATATCATCTGTACGTTTCGTTTACTCTCTTCAGGTATTTTATTTTTACTTCATTCTGGGCTTACAAGATCTACTATGTTTATGGCTTTATGATGTTGGTTCTGGTTATCCTCTGCATTGTGACAGTTTGTGTGACTATCGTTTGTACGTATTTCCTGCTAAACGCAGAGGACTACAGGTGGTAAGTATTGCGTTAATTGCTTAGTTAACCAGATTGTGAGAGTTTTACAGAAGAGTAATGTTCTTCAGTCTGGATGAGTCTTTTCAAAGTGTCCCATGTCCAGATTTTAACCGTAGGGAATAAAAGCAGTTGTTGGATCCTTTCTGTACAGGAGCTTTCTGAGTGTATGTGTGAGCGTGTATGTATAAAAAAAATAAAATCAAGGCACACAGGAATATGAAGAAGGATCATCACTTGGTATCAGTGGTAGCTGTTGCCATAGAAGCTTTCGTAACTTATAGCAGACAACATATAGATTTTGTTAAATAAGTCTGTAGAACCAGTACACTTTATTTTCAGGGTGAGGTTCTAGAGCATCGTGCATCTTCTTGAGAAGCCTTTTAGTTAGATGTTTAGATGATGGACGTGTATGTTTACTTTCAGGCAATGGACAAGCTTTCTTTCTGCGGCATCAACTGCGATTTATGTTTACATGTACTCCTTTTACTACTACTTTTTCAAGACAAAGTAAGTGATAGTTTTCTTTCTTGAATATCAGAGTACTGTATTGCTAAATAAGTTCATTGAGAAAAACTGGGGAAAATATCTATCATAAATACGTGTCTTTCTTTTTCAGGATGTATGGCTTGTTTCAAACATCATTTTACTTTGGTTATATGGCAGTATTTAGCACAGCTTTGGGAATAATGTGTGGTAAGTTTCTAATACATTGACAGTTTTCTATTAGAATTTTTCAGACTGTCATGTTTCTGATTTTAGCTCTGTGGTTTTGTTGGTGGAATGTGTTTGTCTGCAAGATGTGCTCAGAAAAGCTTATAATCTTTAAAAAGAATCTTAGATTCTCTGCTTATACTTGCTTCTTACCTGACATAGGAGGTTCTGTGGATTGTGTCTTCTGATAGGAAGATAATTTATGTATTGTACAGAGAATTATGCTCTCAGTGCAAGCTTGAAAGACTCAATATTTGGCAAGATTCTGCAAAATAAATTCCAAATTAAGTTGAGTCCATGCTAGCATTTTGTTTCGGAGTTTTTGCTGTTGCTGCAAAACAAGGAGCTAGGTACGCCCATTGAGGTATCAGTGGTATTGCAATACTGGTGACGCTACCATCTGTATGTTGTGGCATGTATATATGAGGGTGACCAGAACAGAAAGGACTGACACCTCAGGCTATCATTTGAGAAATAAGTATTGGAATATTCACAGGTGAGGAGAGTGCATAGTGCTTGTGTGTACAGCTGGATTGCATTGCTTTTTAAGTTACTGTTTTGACCGATGTTCAGAAAAAAAACATAGTTCTTGCCATGGAGGCAATTCGGTAAAGTCAAATATACTTGTTCACCTGTTAGCTATATTTTTATCCTTTGCTATATGACTTTCAGAAAGTGCTACTTGGTTCTTTTGCACTTTCCTGTGATGTTATTAGCTTTTAATGTGTGATCCGTATTTAATACTTTCCTTCTTAGTAGTGAATGAATAGTCTTATAGACTCTAGTGGAAGGATTTCTTTGAGTTAGATATGAGACACATGATGTCTTGCAGGAATTTAGTCTCTGTAAAGTATACCTTTATTGATATCTCAAGAGGGTGGGTGATTTCACAATACTTTATAAAAAGGAAAGGGAAATCATCTCATAACTGCTGAGTACCTGTTCCTCTTTTCTCTCATACAATCTAATCTTGCTTCATCAGGTTCTTGGCACATTACAAGACTTCCCTGCTGTTCTGGTAGTCTTGCAGCCATTTTTTTTTCTTTAATAGGCTTATACTTTCAGCTCTAATCTTTTCTTTCTAAAGTGCTCAGGCTGGTATTGATTAAAATGTCTATGATGCAGAAGCCAAGCTTGCCCACCAGTTTCTGTAACTGAAATGTTTTTTAAAACATGGAAAGGAAGATTGTCAAATGCTTTCTTGTCATGGTAGGACACTACTTGATGGAATATTAGAGTAAAATCCAATTTTACTTAAAATTAGAAAATACTTTAACACGTTAAACTTTGTTTCCACAGCTCTATTGAGATTTTTTTTTTTTGTCTTTTTAAGTGTGTTGGAAGTGAAGCTGTGAGATTCCTTTTTACTGAGAACTCCCATTTTCAGCATGTGGAGGGAAGAAAAAAAATCCCCTGTCAAAAAGCATTTGTCTAGGGAACTTGGTGCCATTGAGGTCTAACAAAGACGTTTGTGTTAGAGAATTGTGCAGTGTGCGTGCTACTGACTGTAAGTCTCCTGTGAAAAGTGTGGAGAGCTGGGCTTTGGAGGCTCACACAGATGGGCCTCTTCAGTATCACATGTTGCATATGAGACGAACTAGTTCGGGTCCAAGGCAGCCTCAGGCAAACTCCCTGTAGACTTGTATCATCCAGCTTTGGTTTAAGTGCCCCTGACAATGCCTAGTGAACTCAAATCCCACATGTAGTGGGATGCTTTGATCCACAAAGGCGGCTGCCGTCTGCAGAGCATCTAAGTTCTGGGACTGGACAGTAAGGAGCCCATGAGAACTTCCAAACCTTTTGAGCTCCTCATGCTTCCCTCTTAGTGACAGAAAAGAATAAAGCCTATACCCCAACTCAGTGGATTGCTTAGGAGCTAGGTAGTATAGAAAGGCCTCTTGCAATACCACAATTCAGCATACAGATAAATACCGTAAGTATGACTGAAAGGCTTTTGAAAAAAAAAATCTGTGCTTGCAAAGTCAAAACTGTAGTAAGTGTTAAGTGGTTTGAAGTAATAAATGAGAATTAATCTTCTGATTTGTGGTTGTTCTTCTTTACTATTTGGATTTTTCTGTTTATTTAAAAGCTTGCTGTTCTACTGAAATATGATGACAGTGTATTTCTCCTAAACCTATGTAGGCCATAACCAAGTTAAACACCTTATCAGATGATATTTATAAATAACTAAATAAAGAAAATTATTCCCTTTACTATGGATTTTTTTATTCAAATGAGCGAACTGTCCTACATTTGTTTCAGGAGGACATTCTTTAGTTGTCATTGTCTGGGGTTTCCTCCTCCCTGCCCCATGTTTTATTCAGTGGCAGTGAAGTAGCCTTGAGGCTTAACCCCTGCTTTGAGTATTGGCCGTTAGTGGCCTTCATGGATAAGGCTCCTGTGATTCAGAATAGGTTATGATTTGTTTATGGGGTTGAGAACTTGTGATCTCATGTGACTGCTAGTCTCTACTCCCTCACTTCCATCTTATGCACACGTTGTCTAGATCCTAAATTAAACACAATTAGTGCTTTTTCTCCCAAATCTCTGTGATATCTGACATCACATAACTAGAGAAACCCTCAAAGAACAAGTTCTGAAATGTGTCTGAGTTTAGCAACTAAAATGGGCATTGGTTCTGTTGGCAGTGTCTGCTTTAACAGGCAAAACACAATGAGTCTTAATACAGGAGTCCAGTGCCATTATTTTGTCCACTTAACTGTGTAAGACAGAAGAAGACTTTCTTGACAGGCTACAGAAGAATCTGCGAGTGCTCCTGTATGACCGCAAGCTCCCATCACCTCCTCTGCACAGCCCGTGCTTGGGTGTATCTGAAAGCTTTATTGGTCTCTCCTTGAATGGCCAGGCCTCTCTGCTGCACCATCAGCACACTTAGAACTTGAAAGCAGCAACCTGGTCTTGTGTTTTTTTTAATCAAACTCTACTTTGTCCAAGTTAGCAATACAAATCCCTCATTTGCTGGCCACTGGCCAGTGGAATGGTTGTCATGATATTTAGACAGCTTGAAAAGCTGTGTAACACAGAGGCTGACTCCACAGGCTGCTTACTACTCCGATAGCATTGGAACGATGCATCAGGTTTGCCTTGTGCAGATTTCCTGATTAGATATGAATGTTGGGCTTTCAGGGGTCTAAAAACCAACATTCTGTGTGAGTTTAATGTCTGACCTCATGAATTACCTGAGCAGTCCCCAGGATTTAAAGAACTCTTGAGGCTCTGAATAAATCTGTGGTCAGCAATGCTAGCTGCAGGTCTGTATGGCCTTAATTTCTAAAGGCAAAAAAACCTTTATATTTTTACTGAAAAATGAAGTTTTGGCAGAAACCTTTTATAGCATTGGTTCAGCTTTCGTACTTGACACATCTTATACAAGTCTGGTGCATCCCAGATCATGGAAAACATTGTTTTATGCTTTGTTCTGGGCTTTTCTTTATTGCTTCAGGGAAGCAAAAATACCTGCTTAGAATCTGTTCTTTACTGACTATCCAAGTGTTTGATGTTAGAAGTTCTCTTATCTGTACTGAGTTCTAGGCCCTCACTTCTCTATCCTTCCCATATTTTGTGATGTGCTACTCTGGCAGTCTGACAGCAGTTCTCTCTAGGTCTTGCTTGATTTTTCAACTTCACTTCTAACCTGAGAGTTAGCCAAACTGACTTCCACAAGGGTGATTTACTCTCATTTTGCATGGAAAAAATGGAGAAGTACTGGGTTATTCCCTGCAGATGTCCTAAGACAACAGTGTCTACTGAGCCTGGCAAACCTGAGGTTCTGGGTTTGACCAGGTAGGTTGCTGAATCTCTTTCTCAAAAGAGGTCTTGGTCCAGTGCATTTCTTTCATTTTTCTAGGTGTTCTTAGTCCTGCAGTATTTTGAGTTTAGCATAAACTGTTGCCCCTGTCAAAAACCCAGTGACCTGTTCTGCTATTACTGCTGTGACAATGTATATGCTGCTCATGACTCTTACTAATTTGAAAACCACAGGTTGCAATTTCCTTTAAGTACTAACTGCTACTAGTTTAATCTCTTTGTATGGACCTCCTTGGAGTTTAAGGCTCCTGCAATGGGGATCTATTATTATTTGTGCCTTGTGGGAAGAAAAAAGCCATCTGCCAATAAAACACTCATCCAGAAGGCATGTAACTTAGAATAAAAACTCGCCCTCCCATCCACCTTCCCTGCAGAGTGGGTGATTGTGTGTTTTTTACCCTCTGTTCAGAAAAAGGGACCCAGTTATTGGCATCAGTAGGGGGGCTGCTATATTTATCGAGGCCAAGTGAGCATGGCCTCGGTAAGATGGCTTAATGGATTTAGATTGCTAGACTAGGGGAGTTCTTGCCAGACATTCAGTGGGAGCATGGATAATTAGAATTTGAGAACAGGTATTGCAGGTAAATAATTTTCTGTGTGCAGAGTACATGCTTTTTGTGACTTGCTCTGTTTAAGCATGTGTGTTCTATGTTGCTGGCTTATTTTGGTGATCAGCTCTCTAACATGTTTAATGTTTTTGGCTTATTTTGCAGGAGCTATTGGTTACATGGGAACAAGTGCCTTTGTTCGTAAAATCTACACTAATGTGAAAATTGACTAAGGAAATTAGAAAATTGAACTATGGATCAGTTCCTGTTTTCAAGGGGATGAACTTGCACAACAAAAAGCGCGAGAAGAGATTTGGGTTTTAACACTGGGCACTATATGGGTCTCCATTTTGTGGATGGCTTAAAGTAACATCTATTTCATTGATCCTAGGTTCTTACTGACTGCTTTCTCCAACTGTTCACAGCAAATGCTTGGATTATATGCAGTAGGCATTACTACAGTACGTGGCTAATCCTCCCCCCCTCAAAAAAAACAACAAACAAAAAACCTAGCTCATTAAAGATGAATAGACTAGCTCTCTTCAGTGAAGAGGACAAACAGTTTATTTAAAGCATTTGTTCCATTCAATAAAAAGAGGGTAACTTGGCTGCTAAAACTACTTGATTAGTAGTCTTCCTGGTACTTAACATTTCTAAATTATGTAAAAATGCTGTTCCAGAAAGATTACTCTTCTGATTTTTACTGCCATTGCCAGGATAGGAGGTATGTTTTATATTTTGACTCCAGGTGCTTTTTAGTTTATTTGCGATATCAACTATACCCTACACTCATTTGTTTAAAAAATAATTTAAAAATATATAAAAAACCCATATGCATGTAATATATCAGCTATTGTTCTAGTTGGACCAACTTCCCTTTATTTATCTTTAAAGTAATATCCAGCTACATCTTAAATCCATCCAAAGAAAATGCAGTCTGAAGACGGGATGTGTTCTCTGCAATGCAATTTACTGTACAGTTAGAAAGCAAAATGTTAAATGAAGAGGATTGTTTGTTTTTTAATAAACACGTTGAGGTCTAGATTAAAACAAAACCAACATTTTAACTGAATGTCTAAAGTGATTCTCTTTCTTTCCAGGTTAGTCTTGCTTTTTTTTTTGGCTTTTTTTTTTTTTTGTTTGGGTTTGAATGAAGATTTTCCTTTAGACATTATACAAGGGGTAATAAGTGTATATAACATTAAATAATGTAACTTAGGTGTAGATCCCAAATGTATTTGGATGTACAGATTTACTACAGAGTACTTTTCTGATTCGGTGTAAAAATGTGTGAATTTGGGTGGCTTTTTACATCTTGCCTGCCATTGCATGAAAAGTTGGGGTTTCTTCACAATGTGTGTATGTCATGCTTTTCTGTTCTATTTCCTTTCTCAAGCTCTTACAGGAATTAAATTTGTAATTTAGAACATTTTAATTTTTGTTAATCCTGTCTGGACACTTGTGTAACATCAAAAGCACAGTTGCTTTAGAGTGTTCAGAAAACGAAAATAAACTTTTCAGACAAAAATATTCTTATTGTGAAAATAGATGAGTTTGCAATTGAAAATGTTTGAAAAGGCAGTACTGTGGAATGCCAGTTTCTGTATACAATATTAGTGTGGTTTTCAAATATCAAACCCCCATGCTTTGAATTTAGAATTTGCTTACAACTGTATTGTACAATACAGCTCCAAAGTGGATGACCAGCCCAAAAAGATTCTTATTGGCTGAGCTGTTTGTGGAGAAATCTGTTTTGTGATCCAGCCAGTGTACTGAGAAAAGCAGGGGTAAGCGTGGACTGAAATAAATGGGCAAATAAAGGTTAAATCTTTCTAAGATGACTGTTAATTATGCACTGTATTTAGCTAGAAATATCCTGAATGTGTTTGTGACAGATTTGAGAGCCAGTCGGCTTGATTTTTTTTTATATATATTTTTTTTAGGCATCTCCCATATAGGGATGTTTTCATCAGTGTGGTTGTCTGAAATAGAGCACCTGCCATGGAGAAGGCAACTTTCTGAATTAAAAAGTTCAGTATTTTTAAGTATTTAAGCAAAGTATTTGTATCGATTAGGACTGTATTGTGTCTCTATAAAAAGTACTGATAACGCAGTAGCCACCGTCAGAAACAACTGTGTTTCGGGTTGGAGGTTGGGGGAACTGAACTGATATATTATAGTGAGAAGCAATGCATCCTGCTGTATATAGCTTCAGAAAAGTATTTGAGCTTTCAACTCTGATTTCCCTGGCCAATTTTAACCAATCTGTCCGAAAATAATTTAAGTTTTGCTTCAAGTGAACGGTTGGTGTCTGTAGCTGAACACTGCCATTTAACAGAAGATAATTCTTTTTTTTTAAAAGTGTAGGCTGATTTCGAGATGAGCTTATGAACTGAATCAACAGTTAGTTTTCCTTTGTTCCAAAACATGGAGACTTAAAGCAAAGAATGGATTCTCTACTAGTTCTTGCTAGTGCCTACAGCTGTGGGAAGCCCTCTTTTCATCCATGTGCTTCTAAATCTGAAGTGAGAAGCCATTATCTCCACACAATAAATACATTAAGTACTCCACCGAGATACAAGTTTTTTTTAAAGGGAGTATTTTGATAATGGGTCTGTTTCTCCATTTAGTGCACTGCTATGTGATTAGCCTATCAGAAATGTCACTGAATCGTTTGTGAATTTCATTTAATCACATTTTAATGCCACAGAATGGTGGGCTGCCTATTTACTTTCTCTATCCTCTGGCATTATTAGCTTTCGCATATCCAGAAAGGATTGTATAGCTTTCAAAGTGACATTGAAAAGATACTGCACAGGCGTTGCTTTTGTTTCTGCAAGCACGTTCCTCCGGAAAAGTACTGTGTTTCAGTAATTGACGTTCTTATACTTCCACCCTAGCACATGAGTAAGTTGGGGGTTTGCTTTGTTTACCCCCTTCCTTTCAGGTTCTGCAGGAGTGCAAAATGTGATCAGTTTTCAGCAGCTTGTCTTTATGGTTGCTGTTTTGGGGCAAGGGTGTTCATTTGCCCCAAAACAACTGTGGACATAGCTTGAACCATCTTGCTTAATAGAATTCGGAAGCTCTTTGCTTAGATGATGTAGTCCTTCCTCTTTTATGGAAGAAATAAAGATCTTGCAGCCAAAACTCCTCTTTCTATGGTTGTTTCTTAGGAGATTCTGGTTCTCGAATTGAAGCTTTTTTTTTTATAAACTACTTCAGTTGACCGCTCAGTGCTTCTCTTCCCACTTCTGGTGCAGAGGCCAGAGAATTGAGTAAATAGTTGTGTGGCAATAGCCACTCTTGATCAAATACTTTAAATAAATACAGTTGTAAATCATTTCAGTTGAGGCAGAGTGTGTATAGAAAGCACCTCTGGTACTTCATGTATGGGAAGTGGTGAATGCTGGATTGGAGATAATGGAGACTGCAAATAAGCATTATGTTATGCTCTTTTATTGATATCTGAATGTTGTGAAGCAATAGTGTCTATTAATTCCTCTCCAGAATTACATTCCAAAGTGTGTAAATGGCACACAATTAAATAGTTATCTGTATGATAGTCTAAGTATATTTCTTTAACAAGTTTCAGGTTAAACAAACAAAACCTAAAGCAAAGCAAATCCCCCAAAAAACTAATACTGTTGAATTTTACACTTTTGGTGCTAAAACTGGGTAAAATTTGTAGCACATTCTTATCACTATCATTACTGCAGCGGTAACACAAATGAGAAAGTTAACATTTTGCTCTGGCTTCAGCATCACCAGCATCTAGCCAAATTTGTCCAATGAAGTATATGTACACAGCTTCACTGAAGACAGCAAAATTGCGTGACTGTGAGTGCATCAGCAATTTCTCCACTGGAATGTGTCCGAAAAGCATAAGCTTAGGGACAAAAAAAAACCCTCCTCCCCAGCCTGTGGACTACGGGCAAATAAACTGAATAGTTGGAGCTAGAGTTGAGGGGTCCTCTTATCTTGAATTAGTTCTTAATTGTGCAGCTTGTGGTTCATTTTAAGAGTCATTTGGTTCTGTAGGTTTATCCCTTTTTTTTGGTCCCTTGGATCTTTTCTAGCTAAATGCACTATGGTAGTGGCAGTCTTGAAAGGGCTGTTAGTACCACTGCTCAATGAGGAGAGCCAGCAGTCTAAAACAAATAACCTCTTACTCGGGTTAGGACTGAGGTCATGAAAGCCCCTCCTGTTGTGGGACCTCTGCAGGAATAAAGCCACACTTTAAAATTTTGAAGCCGCGCATTTATGACTTGCGTTCTTCAGGAGCATCTTTTCTCAAAAAAAAAAAAAAAATTGTTGGTGCCATTTGTTTTCATTTTCCAAAAGTGGAAGTACAGGAATGAGCCTTGCAAAGGAACATTTGCTTTTTGCTGAGTAGCTTCAGTGAGAAAATTATCCTCATTTTCTGAGGAGACGTGCATGCGAGTTCTACTAGTAGCACTAGTGTTCTTCATATCTCGCAGTTTTATCTAGCAGGTGCTTTTTCATTTGGGAAAGGGGCTGTTAATGGTATTTACTTTCATGTCTATGCAGTTCTGAAATTTTCTTCAATTTTTGAGTTACGGCATGTGGAACAAAAAAAACCCAACAAAACCAAACCATCAAAACAACCAAAAGATGGGACAACCCATGAATCTGGAAGGCCTTGTGCAGTTTCAGTAAATTCAAGCAGCTCTTGGAGAGAGTCACTTTAAAGGGCAGAAATTCAATTGGGAAAAGGCTAAGAAAAAGTTTTTTTCTGTGGTGGACTAACCTATTTCAAAGGCAAGCCCCTGGATACAGACTTGCAGTCAGGGTATCGTTTGCCCCCAGCCCCGCACCAGTTATGACCTTCTCGTGTTCATCAGTGTGTTCACCACAGTGCGAGGCTTTTGCCATAAACTGCGGGGGTTCATCTATCATGAGCAAGAGGGACGTTATTAATTGTTCCAAGTGTTTTTGGCTTGTTGATAGGTTAATTTTCTTGCCAGCTCCTAGTAATGCAATACAGAGCAATATGTCAAATATCTCTGCAGGTTCTACCATGCTGAGGCTTCATTTCTTATGAAAACCAAACCCATAGGAACTCTCCTTACTTTCTAGATGGATGATCTCCTTCAAGACCTCGGGCTTGAAGCGTTTCAAAACATAACTATACAAGTTCATACTTACCCTTCAGCTGCTGTCACATGGCTACAGCATTCTGGAAGATACATGCATTTTCAGAATTGGGAGTTTATGTGCAATAAACAAAATACCTAATTTTACAGAACTGTTATTTTAGTTGTTTTTTTTTTCTGTTACAAAATAGTCCTAACTTAGAAATAAACTCTTCTAATACTGTGAGACATGCTTACGCATATGATGCAGTAGTTACCTTGATAGATTCCAGTTTGCCAAAGCGTAGACCCGAGCCCTATAAACTTGAAATGCTGTGCTGGGTCTGAGCCAAGAAGTCTAGTCTCTAGTAGTTCTAACAAGCTGACCAACCTAGAAAAACATGCTACAGTTAGGCACCATGCTGTGAATTTTTTTTTATGAAGGCTGTGTGTCACAAGCTTTTACTTGGCTTCTGAAAAGTTTTGAGAGCTATAGTAACTGTTTTTGAGAAGCTTCCGAACATGGCTGAGAAGATCATGCAATACTGAACTCAAGGAGGCTTTTGTGGCTGCTCTTGCTTGTTTCCCAAAGGTTTGCCTCTGAAATTTCAGAGTTATGTGATGTACAAAAGCATTAGACAACATATGGTGGTTGTTTGGGCTACTAGAGATTTAGTTCTCCCTTTGGGTTCATTTTATGCTATTTTTTCATTCTGAATCACTGCAGTCTTGGTTTAGCCTTATTGCTTTACTGGGATGAGAAAAATGGTATATCCTACCCACTAAATTATGTTATTAGTTTAGTATTAGGCTTTTCTTACTTCGCTACAGAGAAGCAGCTACAAGAATGGGATGGAAATTTTCTTGTTTCCCTTCTCGTGCCTGGCCAGAAGTTGGCAGGTGAATTAGTGAGCATTACCTACTCTTTGTTTTGAAAAGAGATCTGACAGTTTTGCAGAGACAGACACGCATTTACCTGCAAGAATTGGAGACTTTTACAATAAAATGTTGAAGAGATGCTGCTAGGTTACTTAACGTTCTGCATTTGGACTCCACAGGATCATTTTTAGTAATTTGAATTGGTTAGCTGAAAGTTGATTTTTGTTGATAATATTTTTTTCTGTTTGTCTCACTACCAGGAAGTGATCAAACACCCACCTTTGAATCTTAAATGTAGCACATTTTTGTGCGATATATGTATAATGAAATAAATAACAAAAAAGGAAATCACTGTTCCTGGTTTTAGCAATTTAAGGAGTGACGTATAAGATGAACCTAATTTAAAGTATTGCTTGCCTCATGAAGGGAAATGTCTGCATGTTCTCTGCAATAGCCAGGTGTGTGATTTGGGTGAAGATGTTACTACAGATAAATCTATGTACAGAAATCCTGTGCAGAAACTGTGCTTGGGAAACTTCTCTAAGGCAGTTCTCCA